TTTAAAAATATTAAGAAGATTTTTAATAATTAATTAAATCAGCCAATCAGAATCAAGCTAGGGGTGATCACACCATAACTGAAATATTTGGTTGTAGTGTGGGTTTAGGTCTTTGTTAGGAGAAATTCAAGATGAAAAGATTTTTTTATTATATCATTAAGACTTTGAGGCAGTGAACGATGCTTTTTTACAAAACTTTACAAACATTTTTATAAAAAAAATGACTACTAACACTTAACTATTTAATTGTTAGTTAAAACTATTATATTCTCTTAATTCTCACTGGTTTTAGAATCATTTACTATCATTACGATTCTATGCATAACAAAATGATAATAAAATAACGATCTTGTACTATAGAATAAATAAATATGCAGTATTCATTAGTCCATTGGTGTCACGTGATCATTATAGTCACTAGTCGAAATACTGCTATTCGTTATAACAAAAGGTATATGCAAATAGGCCGATTGATAGACAATTTTTATTACTTTTATTAAAAAACAATTTATTGCCGATTAGCAGCAATCGCCACCACTCGGCAGTCAATCGTCAATTAATAAAATCAATATAAAATCGTTTAAAATTAGCTATAATAACATTCGTAAGTAAATCGATCATAAATCATATTTAGTAAATAAAAAAGCATATTAAATATTTATAAATAAATCGAAATAATTCATTAATTAGCCATAAAAATCAGTTATTAAAATATTAAAATTGGCTATTAATTGATAGAAATCGGTTTATTAAAATTAACAATTTGAATAACATTTGGCTTAAATCGTATTATATATTTCGATTATCAATCGACATTAAAATTATTGCAATTTTATTGATTAATTATTGATTAAAATTGTCATAAAATTCATTATTACATATTTATTATTTTATTTAAAGTTATATAAAGTCAAATAATAAAGAAATAATAGAAAATAGTCATAATAATAGCAAAATAATAGCGACAATTATAGCAAAAAAACATGTTAAAAAAAATGAATTTAAAAAAAAAAAAAATTTTCAAAAACCTGATTTTCTTAAAAAATCCCACTCATCTACTTCAAAAAAACGATCTTTTACTTAGGTGCCTCTTTCTAAGACTCTTCATCTGTGCTTTCTTTGGTTGAGTTGTATTGTATAGTGCCTGCTAAAGTACTATGAATTTTACTCATTTTCACACTTTCGCCAGTTTTGAGCTTTCTCTTTCTTGAATACACAAAACCACTTTGTCATAGTCTCCACTTTGAATTCGGGTTTTTTCATTAGTCTTTCGGTCTCAGAAGCAACTTCTGTTTCTTTTTTTTTTTCATTTCTTTACTTTTTTCTTTTCTCTTACCTTTATTTTTTCATTCTTTCATTCGTTCTTTTGCAACTTCTTCTTCATTAGACACATAGATCCAATCTGGCAGGTCGTCTGGCCTAGATGCATCATAAAAGAACTCAATATCATTATAAAATCGTTTCCTTGTTTGTTGTGTAATTGAGATTTTTTTTGCATTCTCATCTAATGTTTTTCTTAATAAGCTTCTTAACTATAAAATTGTTAGTTTAAATAAATTAATGTTATTAAAATCGTTAGTATTAATAAATTACAGTATTAATAAATTAAAAAAATCGTTAGTACGTATTAAAAAAATTGTTAATAATATAAAATCAGCAGTATTAATAAATTAATAAAATTATTAAAATTAATAAAATCGTTAAAGTTAATAAAATTGTTAAAATTAATAAAATTGTTAAAATTAATAAAATTGATAGTAATATAAAATTAGCAGTATTAATAAATTAATAAAATCGTTAATATTAAATAATTAATAAAATATCAGTATTAATAAAATCAATAGTAATATAAAATCGGCAGTATTAATAAATTAATAAAATCATTAATATTAATAAATTAATAAAACATTAGTATTAATAAAATCATTAGTATAAAATCATTAAGTTTTTACTCGAATATTTAGAATTTTATGAATTCTGATTTTTCATTATAGTATTTACCAATTATATATAGGTTAGTACTATACTCGACAGTCGCAAATGATTGTTAATCTCATAATTGTATAAGAAAAAAAATCCAGAAGTCACAAAATTCAGTATTAATTTGATCAAAAATCGACAAACCTCATCTGAATACCATGTATAATCATATATATTAGCATTTCTTTTTTTACTGTCCTCTGGATCAGTCTTGCTTTGTTCAGACAAGTAGATTTTAGTCCTTAAAAGTAAATGTAACAACCCATTTTTCTTATATTTTTCAATATGTTTTGCTTTTTATTCATATAACAATTGTGTACTTTTAGTTCTTTGTGCTTTTTTCTGTAATATAAATAATAAATAAATAAATATAAAAAAAAACCAAATTTCGGATTTCAATATTTATAACTTATTGAACTTAGCTCAATAGCTAAGTCTGATAAGTTATAAATATTAATCCAAAGTCTGACTATTTTATATAACAATAATAAAATAAAACTTTTATATAGTGCATGTAGCCTAGAACCAAGAGTCGGCCAGGGCGGCCCCCCAAAGTTCTGTTACACAATCCCATATAATATAAAATTACAATCGGCATGTTATCGATATTTGATATTAATAACTTGTCTGATTATAATTTTATATTATATAGGCTTGTGTAACAGCACTTTGGGGGCCGCCCTGGCCAACTCCTAGAACCAACATCACGTGACCAAAGATGGCCAAATTTTAAAAAATTTTTTATTATAAAAATTTTTGTATCACATAAAAATTAGCCAATTAAATTTTAGCAAAATATAAATTTTTTAAAAAATTTATATTAGTGGCCAAAATTTTAA